CCATGTGACCATGGGGATGCTGCAATGGTGGTATGTGTGAAAAACAGTCATGGGTCTTTTTTTAAAAAACTTCACTCACTCATGGAATGAAGGGTTTTACATCTTGCACTTCCTGTATCCAGTAAGACAGGTAGGGAATGCAAACTATTTTTTTGCCCTAAGAGTGATTTTTAACCAATAACCAGGTGACATCAAAAGAACCGCCTACCTAGAGCAATCCATGTCAAAAGCCACTGAAGGCCCTACCCACCCCCCAAAAACGGTCTATCCAACCAAGAACAGCCTTTAAGACTCATGATGTTCCCTACTTGGGTCATGAGACGCCTGCAATAAATCAATCACAGAGCACCGAGGACCCCATACTCCTCCTCCTACCTTCTAGCACTGATGCTGTTACCTAGTTGGGTAGTGAGATGCCTGCAAGAACACCACCAAGCTCAGAAGGCACCCAGGATGCCAGAGTCTCAACTCTTATTAGCCCAGCAGCTCCCATAAGGCTCAGCCAGCAACGCCTGACATTTCAATGGAAGCAATGGGCCCATATGGACTTCCGAAATCTAACTGGCTATTCTATTTCCTATCCTATCCCTTATTCTATTCTATTTCCTCTTCTCTTCAATAGTCTATATTCTAATTCAATTCTATTCTATCTTCTATCCTATCCTATTTAATTTCTATTCTTCTGTATTTTTCATTATTCTATTCTATTCTCTATTCTTTTCTATTCTTTCCCACTCTGTTCTTTCCTATTCTATTCTATCCTATTCCGTTCCTATATATTCTATTCTTATATTCTATTCTATATTCTAACCCTATTCTATTCATTAAATAGATCAGTGTTTCTCAACCTTGATGACTTTATGATGGGCGGATTAGCCCAAGGGGAATTCTGGGAATTGAAGTCCCCCCACCCCACCTTAAAAGGTTGAGAAACACTGAACACCTATTGTCTGGAAGTTGAGTCACGGTTGAGTCCTTTTTGGTTTGACACGTTTCGCTGCTTATCCGAGTAGCCATTCTCCCTTCCTCTTCTTACTCCAAAGTGCACGTAGACTTGAAATTTCAAGTATATGGTGCTTTAGTCTATTTTGCGTTGCAAAAGGCATTCTCGGACTGCCTTGTTAACCCTGAGAACCAGGGGGGGGGGGGAAGGAAGATAAGGCCCTGTCTTATCAGGCAAAACAACATTCCTGGACCGAGAAAGCCACTGTTTTATCTTCAGTTATTCAACGGGCGCAATCCCTCTTGAGGCACCTGCTTTCCTTTTTCGCTCTGTTTAACCTGGGAACGAATTCTGCAGAAGGGGCTGGGACTCAAAATATAAAGTTAGGACGACTTAAACAGAACAACAGAGTTGGAAGGGACCTCGGAGGTGTTCTAGACCAACCCTCTGCTCAAGCTGGAGACCCTAAACTATTCTGGGAGTTGAAGTCCAGACATCTTCATGTGGCCAAGGTTGAAAAACACTGAGATAGAGCACCCACCACTTCTGGAGGCAAGGAGTCCCACTGGTCAATTGTTCTCACTGTTAGTTCCAAGTTGCTTATCTCCTTGTTTAGTCTCCATCTGGTGCTTCTTGTTCTGCCCTCGGATGCTTTAGAGAATAGGTGGACCGCCTCTTTTTGGGAGCAACCTCTCAAATATTGGAACATTGCTATCACGTCCATCCTAAGAGCCGAGGTGGCGCAGTGGTTAGGGTGCAGTACTGCAGGCCACTTCAGCTGACTGCTAT